AACTTTTCTAAGGGGACCACAACGTATTCTGTGCTGGCAATGGGAACTACTTTATGTAACAAATTGATGTTTTGACTAATTCAGAAACCAAAGATGCAATGAGCCCTCACCTGGTGCAGAGGTTAAAAGCCTAGGGGAGAATAAAGGAGATGGCACTTAAAGTTTGGGAATGGCCCGAGAGTCCCAGTGGTGAGGAACGTCCTCACCGGCAACACGTGAGCAGGAACACAGATATCAAGGTTGTGCCTCTCTGCTTCCCTCTTCCCATAGCACTTCTTATTAGCAAAATCATGTTAGTAAATAATCTCATTTATGCTTTGAATGAATCGGGGTACAGTGGTTTTTAAAGCAGTGGAGAGTATGCCAGCACAGCTGTGAGGTCACTGGAGTCACTGTCAGCACAGGTGAGGTTGGCAGTAAGAAGATAAGGCCAAAGAGGAGAGAGGTTGCAGCAGTTATTCCAGATTTGAAGTGATTTATATGCAAAAGGGAAATAGAAACTAACTTATAATCACAAATTGTGGGGGCCAATATGTATATATATAACTCTTTGTATGTGCATTAAAATAATATGTTTATATATGTATTTATTACATACAAATGAATTCTATGAAAATTCTCTTTTTATGAATCTAGTCTCACAGGCCCTCTAGATATGGGTCAGGTTCAAGTTCTTACTTTCTCATTAAGAACACTAAAGCAACAGCAGAACTGCCACTTGATCTTATGTTTTGAAATACATTCCTAGATTCTATTAGTTCTACTTGCTAATATTTTATTTAAAATAATTATAACTGAATTTCTAAGTGACCTTTAGTTCCTTTGTTTGTGTTTTATTATTGAGGACCATGGATCCTATTTCTATTTTACAGCCTTTTCAGTAAGTGCTCTTGAATTCGTAAGGATTCATTTATTCTTTCAAATATTTTTACATTTTCTTATTTCCTTAATTTCTGTCTTTACCTAAAAAATCATTTTTAAAAAGTATGCATGATTTGAGTGTATATTTGAATTTATGTAAAATTGGATATAATACATAGAAATTGAAACTGTACTGAAATTCATTGTGTGTATGTTTTCCTGCTACTTTTTTTACTCATCTACAAAATCCCAAACTTAGAAGTATGCTTCTATTGTATGCAAATATATTAATACCAAACAAGTAAAAATATTGGTTAAGTAAAAAAATCAGGGTTCACACTTTTTTATTTTGAGACAATTGTTTTCTAGTTCAAGAAAGTTATCTATATAGGACACAACATACAATATTAGCAAGGAGTGGGCAATTATTAAGATATATGAGTCATAAAGAAAACATTATTTTAAGTTTTGCTAATATATTTAACTCAGACAGAACATCTGGTTTAAACAACTAATTACTCCTGACATTATGTTTGTGAACATAATGCTCTTTTATGGATTTGTCAGTTCCCACACATTCCCATTTCAATCATTAGTTGTTTTGTTGTTGTTGTTGTCTGTTTTAGAAAGCAATTGAGAATTAGTGGTGCATCTGTTACAAGCTAAAGAAAAGACTGTAGGATCTAGAGTCACTGGGGTTTGGGTTTCTTCCTTTCATTATCTCCATGAAGTCCAGTTCCCTTATATGTGCACACCCCATTCTTTCATCCAGTCATTCATTGAGGGACATTTGGGGAGCTTCTATCTCTTAGCTACTGTAAAGGAGGCAACTATGGACACAGATATGCAAATATCTCTTTGAGGCCCCACTTTCACTTTTTGTATATATAATAAGAAATGGGGTTGCTGGATGATGCAGTAGTTCTATTTTTAATTTTTGAGGAACCACCATTTCATTTTCCATAGAAATTGCACTCTTTTACAATTTCATCAAAACTGCACAGAAGTGTCAGTTTCTTGACATCTTCATCAACACTTGCTATTTTATTTTCATAGTAGTGATTCTAGTTGGTGTGAGGTGATATTTCATGGTTTTCATATGCATTTTTCTAATAATTGGTCTCATAAATGGTCAATAATGTTGACCATTTTATATGCCTATTGGCTATTTACATATCATTTTTGGAGAATGTCTATTCATGTCTTTTGCCAATTTCTGAATCAAGTTGCTTATTTTTTGTTGTTGAGTCATAGGAGTTCTTCACATATTCTGAATATTAACCCCTTATCAGGTATAAATTTCATAATTTTTTTCTCTTATTCTGTAAATTGCCTTTTTACTCTTTGATTGTGTCACTTAATGCACATACATTTTAAGTGGGATATAGACCCATTTTTCAATTTTTGTTTATGTTGTGTTTTTAGTGTCATACCCAAGAATCATTATCATGAGTCTATTCCTCTATTTTTTTCAATTCTATTACTTTAATTTATTTTTAGAGAGATTGGAAGGGACAGTGAAAGAGAAGGAAAGAAACATCAATGTGCGGCTCCCTCTCATGCACCCCTTACTAGTGATGCGGCCCAGGCATGTGCCCTGACTGGGCATCAAACTGGCAACCCTTTGGTTCACAGTCCACTGAGCCACCTAAGCCAGGGCTATTTTTTTACTCGAGGAGTTTTATAGTTTTGGGCCTTATATTTAGGTATTTAACACATTTTGAATTAATTTTTTAATATAATGCAAGATAAATGTCTAACTTTAATCTTGTGGCTATCCAGTTTTCCTAATACTGTTTGTTAAGGCGACTGTCCTTTATAAAATAGTATTAGTGCCTACTGCTGCTTCAAAACTCCCTTACATATTAATTCTACTATTACACCTTTATATTTAATGTACTACTAAAGAAGCATATTGCCATATTATATATTTACTTTTTAAGTATGATGGTAAATGTATTTTAATATATTTTTGTGTAATTCTTTGTAATATCTTTCATATGCTTATTAATTTTTATGAGTTTATAATATAAAATATTCATTTTGTGACACTTTATTCATTTAAAGATATTATAAAAAGCATACTATGGGTTTCACTAGACTTCTACAAGGGTCTATGGCCTCAAGAAATATTAAGAATTCAGAGATTTTTTTTTCAGTAACATGCAAAAGATGAAGTCTAGAACTAGAGTGATGTGATATTTTAGGAGGTCTCACCTGGAGAAGAGAAACTATGGAAAATCAGGAACTAAACAAATTCAGCATGACTTAATGACTAAATAAATGCCAAGACCAAGGGAAAGGTGAAGTCAATGATGACCACGCAATTTTTAACTTAGGTAACTGAGTGGCTGGTGGTGTGTAGCCCCAGAAGTCATCAGCGTAGAAGTTGAATTTAAAACCATAGGGCGCCTGTGGTTACCAATGGGGGGAAAGTAAAAGGAAAATCTGACTGAGCATAAAATCATAGGTAATCACTATTCAGACCTGCCAATTCATTACGATCAACCAGGCTGTCATGTAGTATATAGAATGAGTCAGCAAGTAGGACTAGTATGTAAAGAATAAAACTTTGATAAGCAATTGGTGGTTAATTTGTAAAGGACCATTCATTATGACTCTACTTTGCATTTATAATTTGTGTGCCTGCAATTATTTGCAGGCAAAAGAAATGCAGCTCTATTTGCCTAATTATAGGCACAACCATCCAAATTTGCCCTGAAAAGAATAGCACAAAGAGATACCATCTGTGAAAACCCAGCAAACCCCTCAGACCTTTTTTCCTCCAACCTGTAAGCCTCGCGGACACACTTCCTTTGCCCTTCTGCCGTGAGCCTCATTGTTGCCTGATCTTGTTCGCACATTACAGGCTAGGCACTCCAACAAGCAGACAGTCGGTGGGCCTTTCCTCTTATCAAACCATTATGCATTTTCCACACATAATGTACCATAGTCTAAGCAGACTGAAAACGGCAGCCATTTCTGAAGCACATCATTTGCCTTGTTAATGTGAATAGATTCAATCTGTTATTCACAGGTAATTTTACAAGGTAGGCAACTTGAACACTGTAAAGATGAAATCACATACACAATTCTGCCCTAAGCCGACAGGAAAATTATGTTATTCTACTTTAAAAAAATTCAGCTGTTTATTGAAAGCACAGCTGTCAGATTGAATCAAATATATTCATATTTCCCCATTAAATTCTTAGGACCATGATGAAACTTAATAATTGTCCCTTGGAGTTTGATTTCCTATAAGGCATCATAATACAGTCAGTACAATTTCAAATAATTATTGAACTGTGTGAAGATAGTTATGATTTCAGGTGGGAAATATTTAATAGTCAATGAGAAATATAAAACCAAGGTAAACATTTGTTAAAGGTTCTGTTCTCACACAAACCACAGTAATAATATATATGGGGGCAATATAGTCTGCCTTATGAAAATGGCACATATTTCTGGCAGAATAATTTTCAGAGGTTTTAATGATTCAAATATTACTTGCTCATCACTTAATCATATTAAAAACTTTGAATCTCGTAAATTATCTGTGGTAGAAACAATACATTTTAAGAGTGAACAATTAGGGCATTTATTAAGCTGACTAACACCAGAACATAACATATTTCTTCTATATAAAACCCATGTGCCTGTATGCTAATAATGTTTGGAATTGTTTGGAAGGTTTTAGGGGCAAAGAAAGGCTTAGAGATTCTAAAATGTTCCATATTTTTATTTTTTAATTTTTTAAAAATGACAATGCAGAGGAAGGCACATTGTTGTTCTACCTTTCTGTCAGTGGTGTGGGTGTCCCACAGAGGTGAAGCAGCAGTTAGTCCCCAGCCTTAAGTTCATGGACAATGGGCATGTATTTAGGCATCGAAGATTCAGCAATATAATTGAGTGTTATTGAAAGGAATCGCGCTAAGAAAATGAGAAGTCGTAAAGGGGGAGTATCACTCCAAAAAGAGACAATTAGAAGTAAATGTTTGTTCTAGCAATATAAAACTGAACATCTCAGTGGACACAATCAAAATTCAAAATATTATCAATACCATGATAAATGAAAGCTGTTCATCTTCACAAGAACTAGGAGGACATTTTCAGACATCAAAAAGGATGATACTACTCACATCCTGAGCTACCATTTGTTGACACCAGAGTCAAGTTGGAAGGCCACGGATTCCGAACAATATCTTGCCAATGAATTGTGTCTGCATAACAAAGAAATTTGTTCTGGTCTACATAGACTCCACCATTTAGGATTTCTGTATTAAAACAAACAAACAAACAAAGGGAGATTTGTTGTCAAACTTTTTGTTGATGAAAAGGTAGTTAATAAAAATGATTTACTCTTAAAATATTTTCAATGTTAAGTTAGAATTACTTGGTTAATAGCCAGGATATCTTTTAAAATATTTTTGATTGAGTGATATAAATTAAATGGCAGAAATTTGAAAAGATTAAAAAATGCAAAGTAAAACGATCACTTATAACCCAAACACTCAGAATGAAAACATTCTTAACATTTTAATATAGATGCTATCAGTCTCTTTTCTGTTCTTTTCTCCTGAAATTAAAGTAACATTGTATATAATATTTCACAACCTGATAATTATAATATTAAATTGTGAGTAGCTAGTGGTAATTAAATATAATTCTACATTATTTCTAATGAGAATATGATATACCAGAGTACAAATTAAATACTATCTATTTAAACAATTCCCTATCATTGGTCACTTGCTTATCTCAGATTAGTTCTTTAAAATAAATTTCCACAAATGACACTATAAGATTACACAGTATGGATATTTTTTGAATACTTTTAAGACTTTTGGTCAAGTTGTCAAATTTCCCTTAAGAAAAATTGTTTTAGTCAATGTGACCTTGACTGGAATAAGTAGGTAAATAGACCAAAAATGAAGCTGAAATTAAAGAATGCCTCAATCACAAAAATGCTATCTCAAATGCAATCAATAGAATTGCCAATTATTCTTTATAAACAACACAATACAGGACAGAATAAGAACCTTGTGGTTCACTGGAACAGGGGCATGGCCATGGGATAAAATATACTGATGCCGATTTTCACCTGTTTTTCTAAATCACAACACTTGCCTTGATTAGGCAACTTGTCTCCCTGAACAATTGATCAGACACATAGATTCCCTTTCAGACAGCTTTAAGTTATCCAGTGAACAATAACTACTTCCTCCAAAAATACTATTGATATTGCTTGAACAAAATGCTTAGAAATATACTTTGTATTTTTCTGCTCGAATTGTACCACACTTCCCCCTCTTGTTTAATAAAACTCACAATTTAAGAGAAATCATATATCAAGTTGTAAAGCATTCAGTTACAAGTACCAAAAAAACCAATGAATAGTGGTTTAAATAGCTAGAGGGTGACTTTTCTCACATAATAAGGAACTACAGAAGGCTGTTGTGAATCTTAGTTTAGCTGCTCCACAGTGCCCACAGCCTGTCCTGTGTGCTGGCTTTATTCTGTCCAGGCCCAAGACAGCTGCCGCATCCAAAGGTGTTGGTGTGAACACAAGGCTCACAAGGAACAAAGGAAGGAAGAAGAGCAAGCAAGGGCCTTCTCCTAGTAAGGCACCAACTACCTATTTGGGAAGACATGCTCTCCTCGGGGATTAAGTCTGCACTTCATTGGCCAACACAATATCCCACAGCCATTGTTACTGAAAAAGAGGCTGAGGAAACAAGTGTTTAGGCAGACATATTGCTACTGGAACAAAACCCAGACAAGCACGTGTGTTGGTGAAGGGGAGGAACATGGGAATTTGGGAAGGCAAGCAACTCTGTCTCCCATGGTTGGCTTGAGAGAATCACCTCTCCTGTGCAGTGTGCCCAACTAAATGTGTATGAGTCAGCTAGAACAAAAAAGGGAGATAAACTATGAAAGGAACAAGGGAAGGGACAGCAAGAAAAGGACTATTTTTGGAAGTGAGGGGCACATCTAAACTGTCTTACTGTGTTGCATGTATAAAATCCTCCAGATTTATTTTCACATTGCAGGGTTTTCTGCATTTAAAATCACTCATATTTCCATCCCTGACTATTGGCTTCATTTTCTCCAGTAAGAAAAAAAAAATAAAGAAACAAAAGAAATCTGATAATCTTTCTACTTCTAAATCTCAGTTCATTATTTTTCATAAGCTAACCATACAACCTTCATCAAAGCAGAAGGGAGCTGTAAGATGTAAGAGTGATTGTGAAAATGAATTTCTACATTAATGTTTGGCATTAGGTTTCTATCTAAGAAATGTGACGATCTCATACTAATAGTTTCCTCATGAGACACAAGGTGATGCTCTTCTTCTACAGGAATAATTCTTCATCAGATGACAGAGCAAGGAGATTTTAACTGCTATCCAGGAAATAAAGGTTATTTTTCAGTCTACATTTGGAAAGTTCTACTTAAAAAAAATTGAAGAGAAAAGGTGATAGCTCAAACATTGCGGAAAGAGCTTATATTTTTCAGGAGTCACATTTTAATTCAAACAGTTTATACTGAAGGAACATAGTATCCATTTCTAACTTCCTATCTAGACATATTCAAATAGAATCAGATCATATTATATTGAATAATAATCTCATCAAATCCCTTTCTTCAACAAAATTAATCTGCTACCAATGTTTACATTTGTCTCTTAGAAATACTCCATTCAAGAGATTGGCTTATACTTCAGAGGGGTTTAGAAAGAAGGCAATGATAATTCAAGTATAATCTTACATGTTAAATTTCAAATTAAAACTACAGCCAGGATACTTTTGTCATCCTAAATTCAAAACCCGGCATCTGCTAGCAATTCTGGTTGGGAGGATTTATAATTTTTTTTGTATTTAATGATATATAATTTACTCATGTATGCATGTATTTTCCCTGAAAATAGACTTTTTTCTTCTATGTTTGGCTTAGAACCTATTCTTTGTTGAATGTCAAACCCCACAATCAGAAATTGTGTATTTTATTGACTGACATTTATAGAAGAGTTTTAATGTATGCTATATCTTAATGTTCTTTTGACCATCTCTTATTTAAATATTTTATTCATTAATTTTTGGAGAGATTAAAGGAGGAAGAGAAACATCCATGTGAGAGAGAAACATCAATAGGTTGCGTCTCATACATATCTCAACTAGGCACCGAACCCACAACTCAGGCATGTGCCCTGACCAGGAATTGAACCACTGACCTTTCACTTTGAGAGATGGTGCCCAACTAAGTAAGTCACATTGGTAGAGTATTTTTGGATCATCTTGATTACTTAATTATATCAGGATATAATTTAAAAAGTTGCATTTATTGATTTGTACAGTTTATATTGATTTTATAACTTTATATGATTTTAAAATATTATTTAATAGGTTTTTGTAGGAAAATATTGTTAGATTTCATTCCAAAATAAGAAAATTCTGGGAAAAGGTATTGACCTATAAGAAAGTTTTTAAGGCACAGATTATTTACTGGACAAAAGTGATACCTAATGTCCTGCCTGGGCTGACTATAGAGGCTTAATTCCATATTTTTTTATTAGAAAGATGAACAAAAATTAGGAAAAGAGAAAAATGTGATAAAGTATTTATCTAAGAACATATCGAAAAAGTCTGTCTATACTTTGATCGATCTTTGTTAACACAAGAACAGCAGTGCTTTCCATTAGTATCAGTGAAGATTTATCGAAAGGTGCCATCTGTGTTACACCAAGAGTTTCCTTCCCATTATCATGAAATAAAATGATTAATAATTAAATTTTAAAACCATGGCAAAAAGGACAGTTTCGAATGCTAAGCAGGAGAAGCAAATGGGACATAAATTTATTTGATATTCAAACAAAGATGCACACAATCTGGAAGAGTGAAATGAATGACTCAAAGTTTTAAATAAGCAAGTAAGCTCAAGGTCATCTCATTTCATTGTATTTCACTTCCACTGTAGATAATATATCAGAGTAAATTAAGAAAAATACAATTAGATCCTTTGCAATTAGAATAATTGGTAGAATAAAGCTACTATGCCTTTTTTATATTATATAAAAATATTTCCAGCAAGTTCACAAAACAGTACTGTGTTTTTTAATAAAAGGTATGGTTAAATATTGTAAGCTATATTAAATATGACACTCTATGAAAACATTTCATTACTGAAAAATTCCAGTAAACACATAATATGTTTGTTTCTCAAACATTACTTACTAGATTAATGCAAGTCAAGTGATGAGATTAGAAATTTTTTGTATTTAAAGTAAATTGTAAACACTATTCTTTAATATATTGAATTTAATATATACAGAAAGCATACAATTTGTAACTGAAATATTAGATTAAACTCCATGAAGGCAGGGGATATTTTTCATTGCTGCATCTATTGTATCAAATCTAGAGCAATAAATATTTTTTTAATTGAGCTGAAAAAAGTACCATGGAATTTTCCACCAACATTGGTCAGTTAACTTCTGTTTTTTTCTAATTTCAAATTATATTAAATATAGAATAAAAGTTACCTTTTTCCATAAACATTTTATAGCTCATCTTATCTGGCTCTACATTTAATTAACTTTTTTTGTTCAAAACTATGTCTAACATGCAAGGCAAAAGCAAGATACACAATAATGATTTTCTTCATTATAGAAAATTTAATATTTTGATTATAGAAAACATTAAAAATATATTTCTAATTTTGAGGTTAGAGCTTTTATAGGCTGAAAGAGAAATAACAGGTTTTATATAATTTTTTAATTGATAATGTACAAAATTATTTCAGGTAATGTCCTTGATATTTACAGTACACATTTAGACATGGTCATTTGTATCCCTAAACCTATTTGTGCACTAAATTCAGTCTTTTAGCAGGTGAATAATAATGATGTGCTACCCGAGACATTCTCCCAAACCCATTCAAATCATCTAGAATATGCTACTCAGAAGTCTAAAATCATGTTTTTATATTGAACCATAAATCTACCTCCTATCATTCCTTAAATTATTTTTTAGAAAGCTGTGAAGTGCCAGAATGACATTTTAAAGAGGACATAAAGTACTCGTGTCTTAGCCTTCCAATCCACAAAGGTTGAGTATCTGACCATTTTCTTCCCTGATTCCTATTTGCATAAGTCTAATGAAGAAAGAAATGTTTGTGTTATTTAAATAAGTTCTCCTGTGCTCTTCACTTCTTTTCAAATGCTAGTTATTATAGTGAATTTGGGGATGAGTGACCATTAAGAAAATCGTTGACATTT